GGGGGTTCTCCCGTTCCTGAGGACTCTGGTGCAGCCACATCAGCAGCCGGAGGTTCAAAAACGTTAGGCACCGTCACTGAAACGTTGGGCAAGCGGACGAGGGTTCAGCAGAATGCACGTGAGCTGGCTATGCGCGTCGTGACAAGGGCTATGCGGGATCACACGACCGCACAGACGAGATCCGACATCACCCATCACCAGATATTGCGCGAGCAGCTGAGCATACAAGAGAGAGCGGCGACGATGGCATGTGAAGTCATGCGTGAGGACATCGCAGCCCGTTCGAGCAATGCAGAGAACTTGGGCGAGAGATTGGAGAAGGGGTATTTGGTTCTTGCTGATGCCATTCGCAGCTTGTCAAGGAGGAGTGCAAGATCTCCTGAGGACGATGCGGATGGATGACGTCTTTACCTCGCTGCATCAAAGCACCTGGTTTGTTTTTTTTCTTGCTACACCGCACCATTGAACTGCCCTGAAAAAAAACACGAGGGCTAAACCAAATGCAGTTCAATGGCCATGTATTTGTCGGTTATATAGGACACGTCTGTTTGTTTGGATCGAAGTGTTTTTTTTTTTTTTTGAATGTCAGGTAGGACTGCAACTGCGTAGTGTCCGTAGCCAAACTCTGGATTTCCATAACATGTTGTCCGTCGTACCTGGTTTTGGTAGAGGACAGCACTTCGACTTGGTTTTGGTAGAGGACAACACTTCTATAGTTGTTTTTTTCTGCGGGTTTTGTGTAGAGGACAACACTTCGACGCGGTTTTGGTGTAGAGGACAACACTTCGACGTGGTTTTGGTGTAGAGGCTAAAGATTTAGACCATCTGTCATGCTATCCAGCATGAACCGCTGCACGCAGATGGGATGTAGCGTCTTAGTTATGTTCTCTCTCTCTCTCTCTCTCTCTCTCTCTCTCTCTCTCTCTATCTATCTATCTATCTATCTATCTATCTATCTATCTATCTATCTATCTATCTATCTATCTACCTATCTATCTATCTCTCTATCTCTCTCTACATGAAGACATGAACACATGAATACACGAAGACAAGGTGTTCGATTTCCATTACTTGTGATAATTTAAGGCGAAAGTTGTGTTATTTTTCGGAAGCCCCTATCATTACTTGCTTGTACTTTGTCTGCTCGAATAGTCTCTCTCTCTCTCTCTCTCTCTCTCTCTCTCTCTCTCTCTCTCTCCATGAACACATTAACACATGAATACATGAAAACAAGGTGTTCGATTTTCATTACTTGTGATAATTTAAGGCGAAAGTTGTGTTATTTTTCGATAGCCCCTATCATTACTTGCTTGTACTTTCTCTGCTCGAATAGTCTCTCTCTCTCTCTCTCTCTCTCTCTCTCTCTCTCTCTCTCTCTCTCTCTCTCTCTCTCTCTCTCTCTCTCTCTCTCTCTCTCTCTCTC